TTGGTGCGTTTTCAGAGTGAAACCTCCGTTTTCAAATTCCTCTGACGTAGGCTGGACGTAACTTATTCGAGGTGATTTTCACGTGCCCTCGTGTATTCGCCCTCTCAACCAACCCTGAAAAATGCGAGGCTACTTGTATTTTACTGATAATCCAGCTATAAGACGATTACCTTTGGAGTCGTCCCCAGACCATCACGTACAAAATGAGCAGAGCGATAAGCGGCAGTAGGTAATCCAGCAGCAACAGAGAGATGGTGTACCCCTGACGGCTTGATTGCGAGTTCCAATTCCTGTCACAGGTATGGTTTCCGTAGTTGTAATCCAAGTTTAGCACCAATGGAATAACTGTTATGATACCCGCAATCCATATAAAGAACGTGGTCACGACAGCGTAGATGAATTTCATTTGACCAAGGAGATTTCTGTAATGGAGAAATAAAGACTGAGGTCAACATCGCTCCTCTGTCACCGCAGAGCTTCCCGAGGGGATCACAGAAGAGAAGGGCGAAAGAAAGGAAAACGTTTTTCAAATTGCCTTCTTGCAACCCAACCCCACCTCCCCTCCACTTCCCGCCCAATAATGTCGGACTCTGTCCTCAGTTGAGGCCTCTTTTGTGCTGCCTTGACCGTGTGGGCTCTGGCAGTTTGGAGGCTGGCGAACGGGAATAACGGAAGCGCGGGGGGAACTCCGGGAAGGTGGAATTTCCCATCGTCCTCCAAGCGTCTTCCCACTCCCAATTCCCTTCCCCCTCCCCTAGGAAGCCTCAGTGGAGGAGAGAGAATGCCGGACCAGATACATGAGTATAGAAAGTCACGCACTTACTTTGACACGCCATAGAATCTATGATACGCCAGAGCCACGTAAGTGTACACCATAGCCTGCAACGAAGCAGTCTGTAATGGCCACAGAATCTTGCACCCCCCGGGACCGAACGGCCACGTGTCCGACTCCTGCCAGACAGCGTCGAATGGAATGGAGGCTAGCACGAGAACGAGGCTAGATAAGGCGAGGTTCTGCATCAACACGATAAAACTCTTGGCTGTTTTTCTGTGTCGGCGAAATTTCCTCCAGAGTACTAAGAGCATGAATGTGTTGGCCAGGACACTGATTACTAGGATCAGAATGTACATGACGAGTTTAAAGCGTCGTAAGTGTTCCTTCACGACTGCTGACTCCGTCGGTGGAGGTTCCGTTGTGGAATGAGCCATTTCGAATTTCAATCGGCTGTGAAGTAAAAGAACATACAACCATGATTGTGAATTTTAATTCCACTTGGAAAACAAAACCTTTCTTGAAGTACTTTGCTTTACACATTTTTTTTCTTTCCCTATTATAGTGTATTCCTCTCGCTTTTCAGTCGTTACAGTGTGACTACCAAGGGCACTTAACAAAATTCTTTGCAAATTGACCAATGGCATTTTAAAAGGTTTAAAATAGTTACTAATCAAAGTGACCTCAAATTTGTTGCCTTTGTAATCTACAGCTTAGTTACATGGATAATTTGTTGAAAACTATTGTTAACATCCACAATTTTATTCGTTCAATTTGAAGAACATTTTGTCGGACGGCCTTGTTTAGAGAAGTCGCACTGTAATACTGTGCAAATATTGTTTTTAAGCAACCATGAAAACTACGCACTTACCATCGTATGAATTTGTCAGTCTTCGTTCGCAACTTATCAGCGATGAAGTTACGGTGGAATTCCAACTTTTTGAACACTCGAGTTTTCGAACCTCTCGATAACTCGAACCAAAAGTCGTTTCCCTGTACTCAGTCGAGCATTAATTTCGCCACGACCGATTTCTCCAACCAATTTTCGTTTCCTTTAGAGGTTCGAAAAATCGGAATTCCCGGTATTCAGTGTGTACACACAGTGCTTTACAAAGAATTAGTGATATCTTTAGCCAGTGACCTCCTGTGAACTCATGCATGTAAGATAAAACTCGGTGCACGTGTCTGGTTAGACGTCTGGAAAATGCTTGACCCCATAATCCAATAAATTATTTTTACTACCGGAAAATGTATTAAATTCGTCGTCGTTATTTAAACAGGAGAACTTCCATGTGGTCCTGTCAGCGTACTGTTTATTATGCTGTACAAGGTGGTTCTAACTTTTAAGTCTGTGGATGAAATTCTAGTGTGATGATTCAAATGGAAGCTATTGAGGATTACTTTCATGTGGTACTGTTTATTATGATGTACAAGGTGGTTCTGACTTAATTTAAGTCCCCGGCCGTCGTATTACCATTCGGATAAAGACTATTCAGAGGAAATCTAATGTTCTGCTCTCTTTGAAACTTAAACTGCTCTAAGGTTATCGATCTCAGCGCTTTTGGAGAGAGATGATTCAAAATGAAGTATAGTCACACAAATGCACAAACGAAGCAAGAAATAAGAAAGATTCGTGAACACGAAAGTCTTACCTTGCTTCCACAGCGCGCTAATTGCTTTCTGTCTGACCAGTTGGCTTATTTAAACGATTTTAGCCAATATACACTTCCTGTTTTTCTTTCCCGCATAAACGGGGTTTTGTTGCCATACACTGATCGGGGCGCAAGCATACCATAGATCATTCAATTATTGTAATGTGCAAAATCGCCTTCAATTCGAAGCCAAAATAATTCTTTTTTTCCCCCCCCAAAATAATAGTTTATTGCGGTAGAAAAACACTCACGGGATGAAAATAAAACAAACCGGCAGAAGGATGATGAAGATTGGAGAAGACTGAGTGGAATTCGAACGAAAAATTCGATCAGACAATTTTTTTTCCTAATATGCTTTTCGTGACACAGTTCTTTGAAAGATAACATAAAGAGGATTCCCAGGAAACCGGAAATTTAACTGAAATCGCTTTTCATTAATCCTTAAATTCTCAATTAATATCATGGTTTGATGTAATTCTAGATTCCCAATAGTAAAATCGAAGCAGTTTACGGCAATCGGTAATGAGAATTAATATTTTGAGATTCACATTATCTCCCTTGAGTGGTTTATTTGACGTCACAAAGCCGGTCTTTTATTACGTTGTTTATAAAGAAATGGTAACGGACGTGCAAATTTGCATGCTTGGAGACCGCTTTGATTTGGAGATAAACGTTTGAAATTTTGGAATTCTCTGCTGAATACTTAAAGAGCTAAAAACAACATTAATATATTGTGGGTGTCATTTCAAACACACACTATAGCGGAAAGTCTCCGCGCTGTTGCGCAGTCTTTTGTTTTTTTCAACTAATCTTTCGATTAGTAACGGGCGGCCAATATGTTCACAAAAATTTCATTCGGTAATTATATCATAAATGCTTGTTTTTAAAATGTTTCGGCCAGTGTGAATCTGGCTGAGCACAAACAGTTTTGTGCCTATCTCTTTAATTAAACAAATCAACCCCGTTCTAGCGTCCTACAAAGACATTCTTTTAGAATGTGTGACGATCAATGAATGAATTTGCTTACAATTAATTTCTCGTATCGCTTTTCTCCTCGGCTTCTCATAGAGAATTTTCTTCTGGCTGATATAACTTTCTTTGTGCAAACGTCAGAGAGGACTCTTTTGTACTTGGGATCTTAATTAGATCTGGGTTTAGGTCTTAGGTCTTACTTTTCGTAACGTAACACGTTCTCAAAAAATTATCTTCTAGCCTACTTGTTAAATATGTCAAAATGGGATGCTTCGACAAGTGTTTTCCTTCGAAGATCGGGTCTTGTAAAGTCTTGTTCAAATTATCTCCTATCAAGGTATATTAAAAAACAGACTGGGATTTTCTGCTTCATAATCTTGCTCAGCAAGTTCGCTTACTGTTACAAGTATAAACCACTGAAGTTTCGACTGAATTTACAACTATTTACTACGGAAAGGCTAAATAGCTCCAAGCGTCGGTGTGAAAAATTGTTTAAAGTTTATTTTTGCAATTTTTTCGGAAATTTTGAATCAGTCTCAAATTTGATTAAAAAAAATCATTTCTCTTGTTTTTCTTGAAAATGAAACAACGAATTACGGAATGAAACCTGAACTCCCAAATTTAGAACAGTGCTGAACTATGCAGAAAAGTTTGTAGGAAGTTAGAAAAATGTTCAAGTTAGATGTTACACAGTTTTAAAAAATATATACCCTGAACACTTATATTACAAAAGCTACAAAATTATGTTCATATTCTATAACATTTCAATCAACATTGATAGTTACAAACAATCAGCTCTCATAAAGTATTTAACACCATTTGTTTAGCAATCTTTACTGAAAAAAGGTCGGTAATTACATATAAAGACATTTTAACAACAGTTTTTTGAAGTCAGATTAAACCCCTGTCATGAGGTCCTAATATTTTGATCTTTCACAAGGTATTCATGTCCCTTCCATAGAGGGTTTTTTGGTTTGAATCCCCTATGCCTCTCGAAATACCAGTTTCTATTCCTACTATCCTTTGAAAAGTTTGGCTTCTGAGTCCCCTATCCCCCTTGAAATTTGGGGTGGGTATGGACATTTTCTGGAACCACACAATGGTTGAAAATGTCTTTATTCACTCTGCTGGGACAGTGGAAGATGCTGAAAAGATATCCAACAGATGTATGTGGACGAAAACTTGATTTGAATCCAACTCAGTTTTGCTCATCTTTCAACATGCATTACAACATGTGTTGTGGTCGTGTAGGCAACAACATGCAGTAACAAGACCCTACAATGTTATATTTTACTCACATTCAAGGATGTTGAGTCGACGAAAGCATGAAATCAGAAGTTGAAAAATTATTTTGATAGCTGCTGAAAACACGAGCATACTGGTAAACCGTTTGATAACCAGTACAAATATTGTTATACTCATAGTGAGTCTAAACAAATGTTAAATCTCGCCATGACTTCTACGATAACATTTACAGCCCGCGCGGTCATCTACCAACGATTATTAACCTCCGCCACGGGAGCAGCGCAGATGACTAATAAGCGCACATTTGAACTGCAGGGCATAATTCCTTGATCAGAAAATCCAAACGTCGAACATGTCTTAACAAATCATTATTTTGACGTACTTTGATCAGAAAAACGTTACAGTAGGAGGGAACTACAGCGCCAGCGGACGTATCAAAAGTCACTTAGCTTCGTGTAACCGACACGCAATTGAATCAGTCGACAAAACCAGATTTAGACGCGTTCAAAAATATATTTTTCCTCCCTCGAGGATGCGAGATCTTTTAGATGTGAGTTATGATGCGTTTTCAATATTCATTTGTCAAAAGTCTGCGTGATGGGAAGACGTTTGAAACTGGATAGCGCTGAATAACACGACAAATATGCCACACATTACAAGAATGGAGAACATATGACTAAAGCCGAGACTGACCGGATGGAAGGACCAGAATTATATTTTTTACACCATTTTTTTCCAACCACAACGCGGTAGTGTTCTTAACGTGTGAAAAAATAACGCCTTAACGCTCTGTGACCAAGATTACAGCAGTAAAAGCTTTATTATCAAATCTAAACTTTGCGACTGCCAACCTGTCATAAACATTGCTTGCTAAGTGTCTTGAGTGCATGCTTTTCACAGAAAATTTGCCGCCAGTGGCCCAGTAATATGGTAAACTTGGGTTCGCTTTTCGAGCCATGTTCAAAGCAGGCTTAATAATGTCGCTAGTGTTAAAAGTGCTGACAAAAATAAAACATTTGCAAGTAACATCGGGCAAAAACTAGTCGCGATCTTTTGCATAAAGAAGTTACTATTCAACAGCTACCTACGTTCGTAGTTGAAAAGATTGTATGCCAAAACGACTTCTTATTGTCTGATCTGTGACAAACGAGACCTACGGTTGTCCAAGAAACAACGCTGCTAATTTCTGATAAATGTACGAGGAGATTTCGAATGTACGAGCAAACGAACTTCCCGATTTAGTCGACCTCGGTTGGGCAGTGAAAAGTGCGCGCGAGGTAGATTCAAAGAGCAACACACTTGTCGCCGAGGGTAATTTCAAGCTAATTTCACACAGAACGCCATTTAAACAAGAACTATACCGAATACAGAACATTAAATTAGACACTTACGCTTTTCTTGCGTCCAAGTGCTTGTAGCGTTTACGATACAACAGACAGGAACTAGAACAGAGCAATTTTATCCGGATTGCAGTCACTACGTCAAGACATTAAGCAACTGATAATTCCACGCATACACAATACAAATTAGAGTAGCATTTTGGGGGATCAAATAACACGCTAATACATTTACGATGCACTTTATCTGACAGTCTTCTTCTGACGTTTTCAAGTTGCACTACTTCTTCATCGTCTGTGCATGAATTTATTAGCTAATTATTGAATCCGTGCAACAGCAAGACACAGTTTAAAATACCATAGATTTCAACGCTTTGATAATTTTTTTTTTTGAAGATAGCCACATGAATCCCTAGCGAAACATAAATACTGGTTTTGCACCATAATACAAACAAAAGCTCCACAGAGAAACATGTTCAATATTTATCGCACAATGACAACATGACCCCAAACACTAAAAGAGAGTGTTAACTGTAGAAAGAAAACAGTCAGCTCACTAGAAAGCAAAATATTTGCGGGGTTAACACAACTTGATTCGTACATGACCTGCCCTCAAAAACCGGGGAATGACTTCTTGCTGTATAATGGCTCAATGGGTTGGGTGATTGGGTAAAGGATAAATAACTAGTACAAGGCGTTCCTCTTCAAGCGTAAAAAGAGAGAAAGAGACGAAGCAAAGAAAATTACAACTTAGATCTGACAAAATGCGAAATTTGACCCCATGTTGTCAAGTCCAGTGGCTTAATGCGTATAATACTAGATCAATTCATAATGCAAAAAGTAACCTACACATGTACTTTC